TTTTTGCTTATGTGGTGCTGAGGAATCGAACCCAGGGCCTCATGCATGCAAGGCAAGCACTCTACCACTGAGCCACCTTCCCAGCCCACAACTCATTTTTGAAGAGCAAAACTCTGAGTATCTACAAGCCTAATAAAACCCACAAGCAAAATACCAAAATACAAAAAATATTCATTACTACCTTCCTGATAAAAGTAATTTTAAATTAAATCTTAAATCCCATATAGGAATAACTTGGCTTTTCCTCGGGTTTGTCTTTAAAAATCAAATACACTTTTCTAATTTTTCTAACTCTAACAAAGCAGATCCTACCTTTCTGAAGAAGCTTGGTACAAGAATCTAAGAGAGATCCCGCAATGATGACCACAGAGGTGGTGCCATCTCCTGCTTCTATATCTTGAGCCTTAGAAAGCTCCACCAGCTATGAAAACAGAACATATCAAGATACTAAATAAGACATTTAAGAACAAAGTGACATCTAATTCATATGATCACGTCAGTGCCTCAAAGAACTGGAAGGGTCAACATAATTTTTGGGGGGAGGGCAGGGGTTGTCAATTGTGGGGCTTAAACTTAGGGCCTGGATGATGTCCTTAAGTTTTTTTGCACCAAGCTAGCTCTCTACTACTCCACCACTTTGAGTCACATCACCACTTCTGGTTTTGTTGATTAACTGTAGAAAATAGTCTCACAGGTCAGGTGCTAGTGGCTCAAGCCTGCAATCCTAGCTACTCAGGAGGCTGAGATCTGAGGGTTGCAGTTCAAAGCCACCCTTATCTCCAATAAACCATCAGAAAACTGGAAGTGGCTGTATGGCTCAAGTGGTAAAGTACTTGCCTTGAGCCAAAGAGCTAAGGGACAGTGCTCAGGCCCAGTTAAAAGCCCCACGACAGGAAAAAAAAAAGTCTCATAGACTTTCCTGCCTGGGCTGGCTTTGAATAGTAATCTTTAGATCTCAGCTTTCTGAGTAGCTAGGATTATAAGCATGAGACACTAACAACAGGCTTCTATGTAATTTTTGACTGAGGATTATGTTTCATTTAAAAACAAATGAATAGGGGGCTGGGAAGGTGGTTCAGTGGTAGAGTGCATACCTAGCATACATGAGGCCTTGGGTTTGATTCCTCAGCACCAGAAAAGCCCGAAGTGGCACAGTGGCTCAAGTGGTAGAGCGCTAGCCTTGAGTTGAGGAGCTGAGGGACAGCGCTCAGGCACAGAGTTCAAGCCCCATGACCAACCAAAAAAAAAAAAAAGTTCCTACCAAAAGTCATCACAGGTATTCTATACACCTGGAAATAATGAAGTGAAATGAGGCAGTCCAGATGAAGTCCTTTGCCAAATTTACCTTAACTAATTCCATGTGAGCCTAATCTGACTCCTTTTATCTTTACATAATAAAAGAGCTTTCTTTTTGGTGATTGGGTCTCATTTTGTTGCCCCAGGCTGGCCTCAAACTTCTGGCCCCAAAGGATCCTCCTGCTTTATCCTCCTAAAAGTACTTGGACTACAAGAAGA